ACACATTTTTTTTAATAAGAACTCCTGCTGAATTAAAATCTCCAATGCTGGTCTTTAACTGGCCAGGTTCTTACAAGTGCAGTGAATAAAAAATGGACTCTAGGCAGCTTTCTCTTTTAGGGCTACCATTCCCCTTGATCCCTGCACACATAATTGGTAGGAGACCTCTTCAAGAATTCAGCCATAGTGTGGAAAATAAAGGTTTGGATAGAAGAGATGGTTAACCAGAAAGTAGAGTTCAGACCAGAAACGTTCTTACTGGAAATTATGAATGAGAAATACAGTAAAGGAACAATATTTAATTATACATATAATAACAGCGGCAAGATTGGTGTATGCCCATAACTGGAAGAATGAAGATATCCCTATGGAAAGTGAAATAATAAGGAAAATATTAGTCTGTGCAGAGATGGACAGACTAACTTTAGAAATCAAAGATAAGGATGAGACAGAGTATTATAAAGTCTGGAGTAAAATATATCAATGGCTAGAGTCAAGGAAAAAGAAAGAAAGGGCTGACTTTTTATAGGAATGAACATTAAAGTTTTGTAAATCAAAGAGAATGGAATATAATGGACAAATATGAGACGATACAAATGCATGAGTATAAAAGATGGTTGTAAATATGTATATAATTGTATATAATTCTAGATAAATGTAAATAGAAATAATATGCAGCTAGCACTATACTAATAACAAGTGAAAAAGGAAATTAACTGTTATGTGTATCTCTATACTATAGTTTGTATGGCCAAAATGATGGCCAAGAAAGTAGCACTGTGTTCAATTGTTTTTAATGTTTATTCAATAAAAATTATTTAAAATTAAGAAAAAAAAAGAATTCAGCCTGTCCTAAGATGGTTGTGTAAGGAAGATGGAAATGGGATACTACTGCAGAAGCAGAGGGAGATAAGTGTTAGAACTGCATAGTGTTCCAGATCAGAGATATGAATGTAGCACTATATACAGGGCTGGGATTCAGCCGGTTCGGACCAGTTCAGGTGAACCGATAGTTCCAGCAATCAGTTGGCCCTGCCCACCTGCCCCTGCCCTGGTCTGTCATATATTTCCATGTTTTGCAGCTCAGCTGATTTGTGCGGCACAGCGGATTGCCATGCGAATCAGCTGTTTTACTCACCGGGGCTACAGGAGAAGGTGAGATTTAGAGCTGAAAATGGGTGGTTTTCAAATGCAAATTGCACGCTCACAGAACCGGTTGTTACACCAGTTGAATCCCACCACTGACTATACATACATATTTACATTATGCTACCCTCCAGGAAAAGACAAAGCTGCTTTAAAGAGCTACAGACAAACGTTATATTTGCATTTCCAGCAGATTCTGAAACATGGTTTCAACTTGTGGCAAATTCCTGAAGCATTGCTCAGCCCTGATAACCTAGATATAAAAGATATGCTTCTTGAGCAGGGCTCTTCTTTGCTGTCTTATTCGTGTTAAAATATAGCAGGGAAGATTAGTTTTTCATATCAAAGTACACATCCCCTCTTGCGGCTTCCAAGCTCTCAGCTACATCTAGCTGAATTCTCAACCTTGGGCTCAGCTTGACTTGCAAACTGTGACAATTCCTTTCCTGCTGCGTAATAGGGTTTGTAGTGATTCTGCTTTCCTCAGTATCTGAATTTTATTTATAGATAAAATAAACCTCTGCAATTGGTGTAATGGGCAGAACCCTGGATCATAGCCCCGATTAAGTCAATATTCCATGTGACCTACACTTTTATTATTACAAACCTAATCTAGTATCCAGAATATTCCTTTAGCTTTTTTGCAAGACTATTGGATCAATGAATGGTTCACAGCCAAGGAAACTTCAAGAGACATGAATCAAAAGACAATAAGGATCATGAAAGTAAGAGGGTACTTGGGTTTAAAACACCATTCTGGCTTCCAATATCATTTTGTAGCACAATTGTGTAACAGATGGAATCAATAAAAAGTTTTAAAAAGCAGGGGAGGGACAGAGATAGAAAAGAGAAGCTTTCCCATAATGGATGTAGCCCGTGGTGTTGAGACTATGTCTTTTGGTGTTACCAGCCAATCTGTCACTTGCAGGCACAATTTATTTTTCAAAGAAAGAAGAATAAAAAGGGGTTACATTTTGAAATGTATCTCGGTAAGAGCGAAAAAACATACTAAGCTGGGGTTGGAAGTGAAAAGCATAGAGTTAAAAAAAAAAACACATTGAGCACAATAAACAGATAAAAAAATAAGCTAGGTTGGAGTATGGAAAGAAATTGCTTGAAGAAAAGGATAAAAAGTACCAAGATCAGTAAAACTATACATTAAAAAATGAAACTGTGAATGCTTTGAAAATGATTTTGAGGAGATTCTTCAGGACATATAGGAAGGCAAGAACAGCATCTCTTTAAAGCAGCTACTTTTGGGTGATGAATTCTAGAAAACCTATAAGAAATCAACTCTCTTAAATAATCATGTCTTTAATGCAACTCATCAAATTCATTAATATTTTTCATTAAATGAGTTTAATCCTTAAAACAACCACATCTTTAATGGGGCTCATTAAAGCAGCTGCCTGTTTAGAGGTTTTCCTGTCTTAAAGAGATGCTGTGTTTTTGCCTCCCTGCATTTGGAACCACTCCTTCTGAATAATTTTTGAAACATGTAATATTCTAAAAAAAATAATTAAGAGCGGGCTAATATTAGTTTCAGCAAAAAGAGCTTTAGACGGAAACAGAGCAATTTTAACCAATTAAAATATACGTATCATAGAAACTAAATGCTTCCTATCTCCAAAGCTAATTTCATTAATAATTTATTTGTCATTTATTAACCATTAAAAATAATTATAAAGTTATTACACTGTTGGCACACAGCATTCAGATTTAAAGGGGAGAAAAAAAGGGACTAAGAAATTACTCAGTGATATCCAGTGGCCATCACTGAAAAAAAGGCAAAAAGTCACATGGACCAAAGGGATGACCCATCATGTCTCTTTTGGTCCTCCCCTTCTCTGTGGGGGCTACTCTTTGTTAAGCCCCATGTAACCAGTCAAGAAGCAAGAAACACACAGATGTCAGAAAAGTCTCTGATGCTGTTCAAGGATATATGGAAAACTTCATAAAGAAATCCTAGCATCATTTATCTTAATTAAGGCAGAACCTCTGAATGATTTGAAGCACTTCTTCTCATGTTTCTTCCCACTTGGTCTAAGTTCCATCTAACTCACCTTTAATCAGTTGGTTATTTACCCACTACTCTCCCTTCTACTCTTTCCCAGCTTCAACACTCTCTCTTACATTTAGAAGTGTAATACATCAGAAAGAAGTAGTGAGGAGGATGCCACATTTATCATCATTATAAGAACTATTTTCACACTCTCTGCTCTGCGGTGGCTCTATTCTGTTGCTTGCCAACAACCTTTACTTGTCCTAGAGCAGTGATGTCCAACTTGTGGCATCATGTTGTTGTCACGTGATGTATCACGACTTCCCCCCTTTGCTAAACCAGGAATGGCCATGCCAATGTGTGATGCATCCAGCCTCTAGGCCATGAGTTTGACACCCCAGTCCTAGAGTACCATTTCTAAGCTACTTCCTATCTGGATGAACTGAGCTAACATTTCGGCATTGAGATCATCCCCATGTCTCCAAGCTGTGGAAAGTTATCTTTGTGCTGCAAAGAATTGAAAGATCACATTCTAGATATGCAGGATATTCCCACATTGCCAGGAAAAATGGTCACTTGTGTGATTATCAACATGTTGCACAAGGTGAGAATATAAGGGTATCCTCAGGGTATGGTCTATGAACACCATCTTGATTTTTTTGGACCACAACTTGTGGACACCTTTGTGAGGGTATCTTGTGGAACAAACCTGAATGAAATAGTCAGTCAACTACCACACTCTCTGCAATAGGGATGATATTTCATAACCTATATCTATAATTCAAAAATGTATCTCAGTCAGAAGAATATCTGAGTCAGATGAAGAAGGATATATGGTCCTATTACAAAGGTAGGAAAACAAGAGAGTTGGACCCTGATAAGCTATGTCCACTAGCCTGAAAATGCTGTACTATTAAATCTCAGCTTATGGCCACCAACATTTCTATGTCTTCTGTGTTGCAAGGGATAGTTATTAATGGTGTCACAATGAGCTGGTTCACCCAACAAGCTAAACGACAACTTCAAATGATGACACTCAACTGCTGTGTTCACTAGCAATAGCTGTAAGGAGGGCCTGTGATGGGAGAAGGATCATACCATTGCAATGTAACTATTTCACGATATCACACTCGGATATGAAAAAGTCAAAGTTGTATCACAACAGTGAGATGCTCTTTTCCTTGTTGGAACTAAAGCTTTGAATCCTCTGTGCATCTTCTCTGTTGTTTAGGTCACTTGCTTGCTGAAATAACTATGGTTTAAAGTGATGGCTTGCTTCAGACAAGATACGAATGGAGTAACTGAGTTTCCCATAATAGGGAGCATCAAAATTACCCAGGGTCAATTTAGGTTTAGAGAAATATATTGAGAGAACCTAGGCAGTATAGAGAAGAGTTATGTAATAACTCAGCATTTCTCAACCGTAGTACTTTAAGAAGTGTGGACTTCAACTCCCAGAATTCCACAACCAGCATAATTGGGAGTTGAAGTCTAGATGTCTTAAAGTTGTTAAGGTTGAGAAATACCCTATAATTAATAGAGAATTTCCCTCAAAGTTTCAAAGAAATTATTCCGGTTGCCCCAAATGAAGAGTTTTGCTCTACAACAAGCCTATGAAAGAACCATGCCTGCTTCCATGTCCCTATTTGGTGAAACTAATTAGAATTTCTGCAGGTCTCCTGATTGGAGAAGACTTGCCTAGGGTCTAATGACATAAAATAAAGTAAGTGTCAATGTGCAGCTTAAGATCTGGTGAAGGATATGTGGACTCTTTCTAGTCTGTTTAGTTTTAGTTGAAACATGAATCTGAAAAACTGAGCTTGTTTCTTTTAATTCCCACCACGGCCTTTAGCAAGAAGCCAGAAGGAGATGACCATCGAAGGCTTTATACGATATATGCTGTCAGAAGACTGCGGTATATTCAAAGTGGAGAACAAAATGGTTTACCAAGATATGAATCTCCCGCTGTGCGATTACTTCATATCGTCTTCACACAACACTTACCTTATCCAGGATCAGCTAATAGGGCCAAGTCATCTGTGGGGCTATGCCAAGTATGTACTTCCTTTGGGAGAGGCAGAGAGGAAGAATGGTGGATGGATGTGCAAAAGAATGCTACTTAAGTATGATAGCTACAGCAAAACTCCAATCCCAAATTAAAATGATGAAAAGGATTACCTGATTTATTCAGGTGTTCCTTTTTTTCTATTGTAACCTTTGCCTGTACTCATGTCAGAAGCACTAAAGCACTTGTGGTTTGAAAGAAGTAGCTGGTGACATCACCATTGTGTGGGGAACATCCAACTGAGAGATCTTTCCATGACCCCGGCAAGAGCTGGAGCGAAAGATGGGAGCTCAACCCCGCCCCATAGCAGTACTTGGATCTCAAACGTGGGCTCACTGACCTCCATCCCAGCATCCTGATCACACAAGCTACCACGCTGCTTTTCTATTCTAACCAAGACAAAACTTTGAACTATTTAGTTATGCAAACATTTATGGAATATGCCATAATATCTAATGCTATTATTTGAAATAATGTATTTAATTGAATACCTAAGACTTTCTTAACTATTCTTGCAATTTATTATGTTGAAGCTAGACTAATTAGTCATTTTTCCCTACTGAAATCAATGCGATAAATACAGGAAGTCATACTTAATAAGGTCAATTTTAATCTATTTTAATTTGATTTATTTCTGAATATTTCATGTATTGGGTAGTCGTTATATTATTGATTAATATGACCTCCCTCTCACTGATTATTGCTTTTAGAATACTGTTCTGATCTAGTAACTGTAAATTCCTTTCTTTTGGGATTATTTTTGTTACAGAAATGTTTAATAATATTTTGAAGCATTATCTAATGTATTGTTACTATTTTTCAAGATGAATGTATCACTGATGTATTACTGTGAATATATATGCAAGTAGTCCTTGACTTGCAACCACAGCTGACCCCAAAATTTCTATTGCTAAGCAAGACAATTAAGTTTTGCTCCATTGCAGGACCTTTCTTGCCACAGTTGTTAAATGAATCACTGCAGTTGTTAGGGTACTAACACAGTTGTTAAGAGAATCTGGCTTCTTCATTGACTTTGCTAGTCAGAAGGTCACAAAAAGTGATCATGTGACCTGGGACACTGTAACCATCATAAATATGAACCAGTTGCTAAGAGTCCAAATTTTCATCGCATGTCCTTGGGATTGCTGCAATGGTCATAAGTGTGAAAAATGGTCATGTCATTTTTTCAGTGCTTTGAAAGGTCACTAAACGAATGGTTATAAATCAAGGAACACCTGTAATCTGTATTATTATATAATAACACATGAATGTTACTGGAGGTTAATTTCTTTTACTGGTTTTATTATTTTTTTTGTTAGTTATTACATAAATATGTTTGAAAATGATTTATCTGTAAATGTATACATAAATAAAATTGCTATTGAACAACTCTTCCAGCATCAGATGTGCTGCAATGTTGTGATTCGCACTGGAATCTTAAAGTTTATTTCTAGATATTATTGATCTGTAAAGTTTACCTGAAACTCTACTTTAGGCTGCTTCCAGAATTTAACAATGGAAATAGGATACAATTCAGGAAAACCACTCTAGCCAAACAGGAGACTAAAGGAATTTTCAACTTGCTGAAGTGACTTTTGTTTCAATAATTTTCCTGCTGTAAATTGATGGTGGCAAACTGCTTGATTTTGATTATGACATCAACATATCATAGGTCCAGGATGATGCTTGACAGCTTCATTGGATATGTTGCAGTTAATCAGTTAATGCAATTTATTTGAGATGTGTCTATTACTTAGTCCTATTGTACGGCTTTCTCTTTGCAAGAAACAATGGTTAAACAAATGGTGTCAGCTTGTAGGAGGAAGGATCTGTTCTTCCTTTAGCAAGATAAAACATTTCAGGTTGGATCTATTCATCAAGAAAGGTAATCTGAACTAAGAGAGAATGTCAATGAAACTATCCCAAATTGTGATTACTGTCATTAAAAAGAGACTGAATGTGATGAAGAAATGCAAGCATGGGTTTGAGAGGCAATGGATCTCTAGTAAGCAGACTTCAGGCCATGCTTTCTGAGAGTTGTGGTTAGTCAATTATTGCGGTCATGATTTTTGTGTAGCCTTGGGCTTCTAGGTAATGAGATTTGGAGATGAATAGGGAAGACTTTTCTGATCCCAGGCATATGTTTATTTCTTCATGGTTTGGAGAATGGACTAAACAAACGGGTGGATCTATAGGGAAAAGTCTAAAGTGCTGTTTATTTGATGAAAGATAATAACACTTAAAGATATTACCTCCAAGAACTTCGAGAAAACAACAGAAAGATTTTAGCATATTCATATTTTGAAATCTGATTTTTTTTTTATCCTGAAGCTTACACTTTTTATAGGGATTCAGGAAGGATTCTGAAGTGGTTTCAAGTTGTCATAAAATAGATTACAGTAGTGTTCCAAAATTCTATATCTGTTGAGTACATTGAAAAAGATGGCACACAATCAGAGTTCTGCGTTGTAGAAGATGCAAATTTACTCATAGTCTTGGATTTTAGTCAGTAATCAGCACAAAATTCACAAAAGACACTGGAATGTCATGCAGCTGAATTAAGTTATCTCTGGGAGTCAGTCAGATTTGCAGGCTTTCATTCCCAGAATTTAGTGTCAGTACTGCTGTTATTGAAAATTCAGAGAGTTAAAATCTGTATATATGAAAGGTAGCAGCTTAATGAAGATTGCATTCTCCTTTCAGACTGAATTACTTTGGTCTAGCCAGTGTTGTGACTTTTATCTTCTGATGTGAAGATAAACTTGTTTAATACAGTCTTCAATAATTCTGAGGAAAGGCTACATATGATGGATACATCAAGGTCGTATCATGCTTCATAGCTCATAAATAGGGGAAATCCTCTACTGGGAGAAATTGTCAAATGTATCATGATTTGAATATAAAGTTTGAGGAACCCAGCAACATACTGATCTGTGTGTACAAACAGTTGTGATGAGTTTTGTGTTCTACGTGAAGACAAGCTCTCACCCAATAAAGAGCTATTGAAAAATAACCCCACAAATTATAAAACAAATTCTGATTTAATGACCCAATGTTTGTAAATCATCAAGTCACCTTCAAGTTTCTGACCAAGAATAGACAGCATTGAAACAAAAGCAACAACACAGTCAACTCCACAATCCATTCTACTGAATCTGATGCTAAAATGGGATTGTTTTGTTGTATTGCTGAAAACCTTCCAAACAAATTTTTCTTTTAAAAGTTCCCTTAGAAGGGGATGCCGCTGCGTGGAGATTGACTGCTGGGATGGACCAAATAATGAGCCAGTGGTTTATCATGGACATACTCTGACAAGCAAAATTACCTTCCAGAATGTCATCAATGTTATACAAAAACATGCGTTTGAGGTAAGTGTTGCCTAGGGTTGATCAAGGTAGAAGCAACTGTGGATGGATGAGTGTGGATGGCTTCCTATCCTGTAGATCATAGTTCTCCAACCTTTCTGGCTTTGCAGACTGGTGGGGAGGAGAAGAGGGGAGTGGCCGGCAAGCACACACGTGCAGTTCCATTTGCACCAGTGGCATGCATGTGCGCTCACCGCTCATGCAGATGGAGCATGCATGCACATGCTCCTCCACTGCTTGAACAAGGGGATGCGTATGTGCACGCTCGCCCACCATTTCCGTGGCCCGGTTGCAAACAGCTCATAGTCCACTAGTGGGCCAAGGCCCAGAGGTTGGGGACCTCTGCTACAGATGTAACTGTTCCCTTTATGTGTGACTGTCAGATGGTGGAGACAAGACTTTAGAGAATCACCTCTAAAGAAGACTTAGACACATCTTATACACACATCTGTAGAAGACTTTAGAGGTGGTTCTACATGCTGGCTGCAGAGGTTTTGCTCTGTGCATCTTGTTGAGGGCTACATCGCTGAAAAACATCACTGGTGTTTTACTGCTTGATTTATTAATAATACTTGTATGGTACCCCATAAAAGCTCTGAGAAAATAGCACATCTTAAAGTCACCAACATTCACAGTCACTGTTTTAAATAATATATAATATAATAAAGTACATAAGTAGGACGTAACATGAGATATTTAACATAACAAGTTAAAATAAGAAGAAAATTTAATGTCTATGGAGATTCTCAGTCATCCAGGTCATGGTTGTCCCAAAAATGCTTTTTCAAGAGGCAACTGGACTTTCTGGTTTTACTTTGAAGACATTTCACTTCTCATCCAAGAAGCTTCTTGAATGAGAAATGAAATTTCTTCAAAGAAAAACCAGAAAGTCCAGTTGGCTCTTGAAAAAGCACCTTTGGAAGAACATTTAAAAGCAGCTTTGGAAGAACAATCTGCTTCATTGGTAACAACAAGGGCTTTGACTATGTAAAAAATGCTAGAATTGCAACTTATGAAGATTAATGGGTGTGCAGGAACAACTGATTACACTTGTGAGGAATCTTTATAAAGAGCAAGAAACTTGGGTAAAAACAGAGTCTGGAAAAACAGAGTCATTCAAAATAGGGAAAATATCCCTGGGTTTATTTAGGTCATGCAGCAAACTTGTTATAATATGGTTAAAAGCAATAAATGCTGGCATCAGATACACAGACAATGGCAAGGTAAAGATGACTAAGACAAACTCCTTCAGAAAGTAAAAAATGAAAAATGAAACAACAGTCAATGTTAAATATAAGAGATCTACACAATCATCTGTGTCTTTTGTGAAGTTGTGACTGACTGACTGCGAAATGCAGCAAGGTGGAAGATAGTTTCTTTATCATTATAGATAAAGAAGGGCAGTGTGTTAAAGTAGTAAAGAGATTAATCCTTGGGAGGGAAGCCATGATAGATGTGGACAAGGTGATGAAGGATAAGGACTTTGTTATGACAAGCCAGTTCACCATAAATAAAACAAGTGCTGATGTATGGCAGTGAAATATTTAGAAAGTGCAGGAGAAAGAAGATTGATGCTTTCAATTTATGGATTTGGAGATGAGTACAATGAAAAGCAGGAAGAATCGCTCAATTGACCCTGGACTAAGGAAAAACTGTTTTGTTGAGATGATGGTGAGTTAACAGAAATTCACATGATTCAGACCTGTGAGGGATGGGATAAAACAACTCTACATGGCTGAACTGTGGTAAGTAAAAAGATAAAAATGGATAGACAAAATTAAGAATTTCCTTAGAACAACTACTGACAGTTGTCAGCATCAAATCAACTTGGCAGGCATTTAAATGGACAATTGCTGCCAGTTGGGCTCAATTTGGGCGCACCTAACTAAACTGTGCCATTCTCATATCAATAATCTTAATGAGCTTTTCTATTCCATCCAACAATGAAACATGAAATCTTACATTGTCTCTTCAATTCTGTATGGAGTTTCTTTGTCATCTAAGTCATGGTTGTCCCAAAAGTGCTTTTTTCAAGAGGCAACTGGACTTTCTTTGTTTTTCCTTGAAGACATTTCGCTTCTCCTCCAAGAAGCAAAACTGAAGAAGGTTCTTAAATGAGAAGCAAGTACTTACTTTTAGTAGCAAAATAGCCACCTGCACCCTACTCTATCTTGACTAATTCTAGATGAAATTCCACATAGGGACAGCCTCATGGAACATTATAGAGCTGGTTGGGGAATAGGATCAACTTATTTTTTAAAATATAATTTAATTTCTTTTAAAGGAAGATACAGATCAATACAAACTAAAGAAAAACAAAAGAAAATTAAAAAGTTAAAATGCAAGAAAGGGGCAGAAAAAAGTAGAAGAAAAATAGAAAAGAAAGAAAAAAATTCAAAGAAGTTCCTTTCGATCAATTTGTATCTATTACATCCCCTCAATATGACAGCATGAACCTCATCTTTAGAAATAAATCAGTGTAAAACCTCTTATATGCTTTAGTAGCAATACCTTTATTTTGGTCATTGACTCACATAACATTCACAGATAAAATTACAGCTGTCCTATTGTAACAATCTAATCTATATAACAAATGCCTAAAATTTAAATCACAAACTATAAAATGTTGATACCGATACCATTAAGATATTAAGGTTAAGGTTATGAAGACAAGAGTGTGAAAGGCAGAGATGTATACAGTCTGGATAAAACTGGGATAACAAGTAAATATTTTTATTTATTTATACATCAAGTGAAGATGGCCCATCCCATAGCAGAGCTACTCTGGGCAGAGTACAATTAAAATGCAGAAACATAGAAAAGTGTTATATAAACATAAACCACCTAAACCATTTTAAATATGATTTAAAATAGCTGATATGAAGCCTAAAATCATGGCATCACTTACATTATGATTCTCTACTCTTGAGGAATGTGTCTTTTCTTTTATGTATACTGAGAGTATTTACACCAAGACAAATTCATTCCTCCAATCACACTTGGCCAATAAAGAATTCTATTGTCTATTGTCTATCCATATTTAAACAACTGTATTATAAATGCGAGACTAGAATAGTATGGTATAAAATTAAAAGGCTCCATAAATTGAAATGACAATAACATCGAAGGCTAAAGAGCTAAAACTAGGAAATGTATGCAAACTTATGGGCATAGCCTTTGTTGGTCTCTATATGTTGTAATTATGTAACATATCTACCTATATAACCTCTTCAATTTATTTTCAGGCTTCAGATTACCCCATCATTTTGTCACTGGAAAATCACTGCAGCCCTCCACAGCAGGAAAGGATGGCAGCTCATCTTCTCGACATCCTCCGGGATAGTTTGTGTACTACAACCATTGACAATGCTGTGCCATCAGAGTTACCCTCCCCAGAGGTAAAATCTTTCCCTGGGGACTTTGCTCGTTGGAAGCTGGCTAGAAAGTTAATCCCAGGATATTGCAACTGTTGCAAATACCTGACGGTTGCCAAGAACTCAAATTTTGATCCCGTCACTGTGGGGATGATCATAAGTCACTTTTCCCCCCAGGGCATTGTAACTTCAAATGCTTGCTAAATGAATGCTTGTAAATTGAAGAGTCTCCGTAAATGGAGAAATCCTTATTGTTTTGAGACAACCATTTTGAAGTATATGCTACTGTTTCCTCCCAGGATCTGTTGTCAATTTCCAAATCTGGTTCCACAGCCCTTGAATGTCCTTGGTGATCTCCTCTATAAATGCTAAGTTCAACTCTGCTTAGCTTTTGTGAGATCTAAGCTGGCTCTAATTGTCACCATTTGCTGAGGGATAGATGTCTGCAGACTTTTGTGATAGCGCTCACATACGTGGCTTGATAGCTAAGGGACTGAGATGCCTTGTGCCAGCGATGACATGACAGTTGTGATTATTGGTGTTGCAGCAGCATTATTTATGCTTATCGACATATGAATCCCATGGCAGGCATGCATGGATTGGTGTAGAGCCATGATATCTACATTTGCTTGGCTGCCTTGGGACAGATTCAATTGAGATATCAGAGCCATTCCTGACTTGAACGCTGCTATTTGAACAGCTTTTGAAATTTGAAAAATGGGTCTGGAGGATGTACAATCCCTATAATGGTGCCAGAGGTGGTATTCAGCAAATTCTGACCAGTTCTGGAGAACCGGTAGTGGAAATTTTGAGTCATTTGGAGAACTGGCAAATCCCACCTCTGACTGTCCCCACCCCCATCTATTCTCTGCCTCCCAAGTCCCAGCTGATTGGCTGGATCTTCTTTTGTTGCCCTGCACAGGAGAACAGAGCTGGAAAGTAGGTTAGTGGGGTTGGGAGGGAATGGGATTTTGCAGTATCCTTCCCCTGTCATGCCCACCAAGCCACGCCCACAGAACCGGTAGTAAAAGAATTTGAATCCCACCACTGCATGGTGCCAACTTACACAGACCAAATTCACATGCTGTACTAGGCCACAAGTAGTTTTATTTGCTACTTAACGTGATGTGTGAAGCCCTCCTGTATTTGCTTGTTGAGTATTTTCCTAGGATAGAAGATAAGAATAACAGAATTGGAAGGGACCTTAGAGCAGGGGTGGGATACTACCGGTTTGGCCTGGTTCTATAGAACCGGTAGCTCTGAAGAGCAGCAGACACCGAACCAGTTCGCTGCAACAACCTTTTGTTCGTCTGTTTGGCCTAGCTGCCCACCCGGGCTCTTGGCTGTCCTTTATTTCCTGCTTTTTCATCTTCAGCTGCTTTGCGCGGCACAGCTGAGGTTAAAAAAGCAGGAAAGAAGAGACTTTTCAAATGCTGTACACCCGAGCATAGCGCTTGTCAGCTGTCCAGGCGGCACAGCTGAGGTATTTGGGAAATGTTGTGCATGCGCATGCAAAACACACTGTCACTGAACCAATAGTAACACCGGTTGAATCCCACGGCTGCCTTTGAGGTCTTCTAGCACTCAGGCAGGAAACCCTATATTCATTCCAGACAAAGGATTGTCTAATCTCTTTTTAAAAACTTCCAGTGTTGGAGCACTCACAACTTCTTGAGCCAAGTAGTTCCACTGGTTAATTGTTCTCACTGTCAAGAAATTCCTCCTTAGTTCTAGGTTGCTTCTCTCCTTGATTAGTTTCCAGTTGTTTCTTGTCCTGCCCTCAGGTGCTTTGGAGAATAGCTTGACCCCCTCTTCTTTGTGGCAGCCTCTCAGATATTGGAACACTGCTATCATATCATCCATAGTCTTTCTTTTCATCAAAGTAGAAACTTATTTTAACTATCCTTGCCATTTAGTTTTGTAGCTTACCATACTGAATGAGTGCACCTTTTCCTCTTCCTAGCAATTGAAATTAAAGATCCTGATCAAAAATAAGAAAGCTGGATCACTCCAAGACACCCTTAATCGGAGGGGTCAGGCATACCAGGGCCTTACAGAAGAAACCGAGGATACCCTGGAGTCAGAGGATGAAGATGATGAAGGTGCTGGACATGTGCTAAAGAAAGCACTCATTCGGAAGCCCATTAAAAAAGACAAGGACAAGGTAAGCCAAGGGCCATCGTCCACAGCAATGTTGCCCAGATCCTTTCAAAATAAGAAAATGTTGTGGTTCACCGGCAGCAGGTACAGACAGCAGCAGTCTCTGAGAGCGAGGACTCAGATGAGGGGCCTGCATTTGATACATGGATAGGGCCAGGACTATCGGAGAGTGAGATGCTGCCTTCGGAGGTCATGGAGTCTGGCAGCAGTGATGAAGAGGACTCCAGGGAGCCTGTGCCCAGTGCGCGGGTGCACAGGGCTGCTCGAAGGAAAGACCAGCTGAAGCAGCATGGGCAACTTGGGAGTAAGGCTGGAAGGTGATGGCCCCTCCCATAAGGGATAAAAGCCAGCCTTCAGGGTTGGCTTCTTTGCAGGAAGCAAAGAAGTTCTTTATGCTCAGAGTTCTTGTCCTCCGATTTGTTTTTGGAAACTTCTGGCTTGGGATATTTATCTGCAATTAATCTTTTGTTTTTGTCAGCCTTTCACAACCTTGAAAGGGCTTACTCTTATCTGGGACAATTAGTTTTGAATGACTCTTAGCTGTGAATGAACAGAATTCACAGCACCGCATTAAAAAGGTTTGTTTTTATACATACTTTGTGTTTGTTTGATTTGAACAAGGCTTGGGTCAGAACAGAAAACAGATGTAAGGCTTTTCTCAAACACTTGCAGGCCCAACTAGCTGGATACGAAACTGCAAGGACCGATTTCCAAAACATTAAAGTCTCAATACGTGAAAAAAAGCTTAATGAAGCCATTATGAAAGAATTCCTGCTGGGGAATTCTGGGAGTTGAAGTCTTCAAGTTGTTAAGGTTGGGAAACATGGCCATTGAGATATCCTTGTTCTCTCTCATGGTCAGCCATGACGAGACCAGATAAACTCATGATTTGCTCCCAACACTTTGCTGTGTGCATCTTCCCATTTCAAAAACTGTGTTCCCAGCTGCAGCTAATGAAGGGAATCAGGGCCCTTTCCTCCCCCGTAAGCCACACAACTCACATTGCTCCCTTCTCCATTCCTCCCTGTGTGCCCTAGGATGAAGAGGGGATGGGCCTGGGTCTTCCTCTGAATTCCATCTCCCTTGTTCTACCTCTCACCTGTTCTGCAGCTGGACTTTGCCCTTCCCCAGTTTCTTCCACAGCCAATGGAGTCACACTCCCACTCCCTGTCAGCTGCTTCGCTCCCCCCAATCAGATTCTGACAGGGGCATGACACCTTACAGCCTGGCACTATAGGTCACCCACTCTGCCAGAAAATATTGTTGTGCTGGTTTCTTTCAAACAAACAACTCAGGATGTTTTGCATGATTTCAGGTTCACACATATAGCTCATAAACAGAAAACTAGTCATTTAGAAAAAATGGGAAGAGAATGTCTATGTTTACACAGGCAGCCCCCTATTTCTCCTGAGAAGTTAAAGCAGCACAATTGCCAGGTCGGAAAAGGGTCTGAAAGCACCCATTAAGTGTTTTGCAGTTACCAGTCCAGGTTCACATCATCACCACGTTTGCTGCCAAGATACCACCAAGGCAGCTATCCTGTTCCAATGGAAATTCCACCTCTTTCGTACGTGCATGAAATTGACATCACAACGCACGTACACATGGGGTGAAGCTTCTATCACAACACTACAAAACTGCTTTACTCTTTAGCACCCCACCTAATCCCCTGGTACAGAGATGTCTGCCAGAATCCATCCTGGATAATTCCATTAAAACATCCTCTATAGAAAAAAAACACATGTCTGAGGCACAAGGATGTGGTCCAGAACATTTTAGGTGCAATGATCCCATTATCCTGAGGCCTTCTTGATCTAAAGATAGACCTTTACACATTCTCTTTTGTTCAAACGGAATGGGAAGAGACTGAAGAATGTGTCTACCTAGAAACTACACTGTCTTCCCAATCTTGTCAAGTACTTAAACTTGACACCGCACAGTACTTTCACTTCTGAGAGTCATAACATTTGTCAATCTCTGTTCTTAGGGCCATAAAGTCAAAGTGGCTTTACTCCTTTCTGAACTCGTGATTTATACTGCTTCTCGGAAGTTTGTCAGCTTTGAGGATTCCAAAGAGAAGCAGAAATGCTACCAGAATAATTCCATCGGAGAAGTGAAAGGTCAGAAGCTCATCAGCCGGAGAGGTAATGTAAACGTTTCAACCATCAACTAATATTTAAGCGAGCTGCATATTTCTCTATTTATTTTGGAGGCAGTGTAGTTTTCAAAATGTCCTTGAGAATAAAAATGCCTTGTGTTAATTTATGAAGCTTTTTGATGTACTATATGGATATATATAGGGGTAGAATGCTACTGGTTCGGCCCGGTTCTATAGAATCGGTAGCTCTGAAGAGCAGCAGACACCACACATGCACAACTCTCACCGAACTGGTAGTAACACCAGTTGAATCCCATCCCTGGATCTCTATCTATCTCTATCTCTATCTCTATCTCTATCTCTATCTCTATCTCTATCTCTATCTCTATCTCTATCTCTACCTAGAGATAGAGAGATAGAGATAGGTAAGGAACCCAGTGGCTCAGTGGCTAAGATGCTGAGCTTGTCGATCAGAAAGTTTGGCAGTTCAGTGGTTCAAATCCCTAGCACCGCATAATGGAGTGAGCTCCCATTACTTGTCCCAGCTTCTGCCAGCCTAGCAGTTCGAAAGCATGTAAAAATGCAAGTAGAAAAATAGGGACCACTTTGGTGAGAAGGTAATAATGTTCCATGCACCTTCAGCATTTAGTCATGCTGGCCACATGACCGTGGAGACGTCTTCGGACAGCGCTGGCTCTTCAGCTGTGAAATGGAGATGAGCACTGCCCCTAGAGCCAGAAATGACTAGCACATATGTGGGAATGGAACCATTACCTTTACTTTATAAAGATACTTTTGTGCCAAATTTAACTCTGGGATTTCATAGACACTTCCACGTAATTGTAGTGGATAACCACAGTGATGTGGTTTTTCAGTGCCTCCTCTTTTTTTTTTTTTGTTTACTTCTCAATCTAGCCTCCAGTCCTAAGATTTCCCACTGCTTTCCATCTAAATGCTAACCAGGACTGACCCTACACCATTTTTTTAAAGTTCTACCAAGTCAGTTAGACACTGCTACCTAACCCATCAAGACAGAAATATATTCTACTGTCTGATATTTACAGTAGATGTAACCTCAAGACTTCTCAATTTATCTACCTCCTTCCCTCCTACTACCTAAACTGGAATAAATCTTGCAAATAGAACTTCCAACAGTTGGCTTAATCATGTCATTTTTCTTGTTTTGAAATGGATGTTCACACAGAATGTGGTCCATAAAGCTTGCAGAGATTTGATTCAAAGCAAAATATTTGGGAAAGTTGGCTGCCAGGATAGTTGACCTTTTTGAAATTATCCAGCAAACGTAAAGAAAGAGAAATTGGGTGGACAATTTATCTGAATTTCCTCAGGAAAAGGAGATATTCTCCATCAATATCAGACTCCTCCTTACTGAGGATGGCACTCTTACTTAAAAAAAAAACCCTCAAAGGAATAAGCAATAGGAAGAGTTTCCTTTTGGGCTTTAATGAAATCATGAGAAGACAGGTTGATTGCTCACATTTACCCTTGGTCAACTTAGAGACAAGGAAGTGCAAGAAGACCTATGGCTATTCTCCTGAAATTCTCTTAATTGTTGCTAAATCAATCTAGCTTCTTCGTGGCTAAATTACTTTCAGGTATATTGAGCCTTTGAGTCATTGTTGACTCCTTCTGATGCCTGGATTAGTGACTGCAATTTACTTGTTAAGATTTTTGGAAGTGATTTGCCTTTCCCAGAGCTGAGAGTGTGTGTGTGATGACCCGGGGCATGGCACAAAGGCAACACAGTCATATAATCAGTAGACGTCCCTTTATTATCTCCAACTTTGCCCCCAATGTCCAGGTTACCTTTTGGCTGGAGAAAAAAACTCTCCCAGGAACAGCATTTGACTGCAGAAAATTCAGTCCAAAACAGAGTAAACACAAAATATAACATAAAGTCCAAACAAGCCAAACTGAAGTAATTAGTTTGGCAGGGCAGGAACAAGAATTTCAGACTTGAAAGCACAGCAAAACCCACACAGTTGGAAAGGTGCCAGGAACACAGATAAGCCAGGACAATACAAGATAAAGTCATGTTTTCTCCCAACAACTTGCTGCACACAACTTGCCTTTTTTATAAACTGTGTTTCCAGCTGCAGCTGATGAAGTGAATCAGGGCCCTTTCCTCCCCCGTAAGCCATTTAACCCATGTTGCTCTCTTCTCCATTCCTCCCTGCATGCCCTAGGATGAAGAGGGGGTGGGCCTGGGTCTTCCTCTGAATTCTCTCTCCTTTGTTCTACCTCTTCCCTGCTCTGCCCAGCCACAGCCAACAGAGCCATACTCCCACTCCCTGTCAGCTGTTTGGCTTCCTCCTCGGCTTCAGACTCCAACAGGGGCATGACAGAGTGGCTGTCCCAAGGTCACACAGCTGAGTTTTATGTCTAAGGCAGGACTAGAATTCACAGTCTCCTGGTGATTGATCCAAAGTCACCAAGATTTTAGGCTTTTCTGCCGAAAATAGGATTAGAACTCACAGACACCTAATGATTGGCCCAAAGTCATCCAAATGTCTTTCATGCTTAAGGAAGAACTAAAATTCACAGTGCCCAAGTTTCTAGACTACTGGCTTTAACTACTACCACAAACTGGCTCTGGTACCCTCTTCCTCCCAAAAGGCATGCAGCATAAATACATATTGCAAATTTGTTGTCAGCATATATAATCTCCCTGTTAAAATATTGTCAGCTTGTTTTATTTGCTGTTTTAAAATTGTCTGTAGCCTTTTCCACACTTATTTATTTTATTTTAAATATTTACATATTGCTTCTCATTGCAAAAAAAACCAAAAACCCTTCAGAAAGTAGGTCAAAACAGTTGAGAAAAGCATTCCTTGAAACTATGCAAGAATATGCATAATAAAAGAAGCAATAAAAGAAGTAGTGAACCAATAATATAGAGCAACATAGCAGTAACCAAACAAAAGTTAGGCATATTTCTTTGCGATAACATTTTGAACATGCCTTTTTTCCTATATCTTTTTGCAGCCCCTGATTTTGTCTCACACACAGTCCGCTTCCTTACAAGAATCTATCCCAAGGGAACCAGAACAGACTCTTCAAATTATGATCCTCAAGAATTTTGGAATGTCGGAAGCCAGCTGGGTAGGTCCTTTAGATTCTAACCAAATCTGCTATGCTGTGTGAATGGGACAAGACCAGATTTACATTGGGAAAATTATCATTGGAGCCAAAATACAGTAGATTGGTATTCAATTCTTTCAGAAAGAATCATCAGGGCTAAGAGAAGAAGACAGAACAAGCATGATGGCAGTTTTGGAGGTCCAATTCCTGTGGAACCTTCTCTTCAGTACCTCATAATCTAGTGACCAAAAGGGGGAAATAGAATTAAAGATTTATCCTGTGTTTCCTTTTTACTTATCACTCCTGTTCTTTGTCTACGATAATATTTCCCAATCTGGACAACTTTATGATGAGTGGACTTCAACTCCCAAATTTCTTAGCAACGTCTCTGTTGGCTGGGGAAGTCTACACATCATGAACCTGCCCAGTTATGAAATGGTGACTGAGGAGATTGCTAATGTGAGGTCACTTCCTTCTGCCTTAATCCTCAAATCAAAAGCATGGAACATATGCTGTTTGACTCTCCTCCTGGCAGGAAGCAGTTAATAAGGTGGTAGGCTTTGCTTAGGTCAATAATTAATTTCCAGGAAGTATGGTAAATCTTTGTGGTTTTGTTATCAACTTTACTTCACTCATGATTGTTCAAGTGAGAGATTTCTGCTCTTAGGAATGTGATGTCTCTCACTTTCACACTCTCATACACAAAAGCACACTCATTGAATACTTCACCTTTCAAAAGGCAGGACTTCTATTTTATGATTTGTGCCACTTTGGTAGACAGTAATTGTTTGATAAGTGGGCAAAAATATTGAACAACCGTTAGGTACAACTGTGGGTTACTGCTAAGGAGACCTAAAAGTTCACAAGGACAGTGGAGCCAGGATATCTTACTTCACACATCCCATTAAGCTGTGATTTGTTTATTTAGTTAATTACAGTTGGCTGAGTTCACATGAAATCTGTATTCTGTTAGGATAAGTCAGGATCTAGAGCAGCAGTGAGAATGGGCAGAGAGAGATGAGACCAATCTCATTATGTGAACAAATTAATATTGAAACTTAGGCTGAGTTGAAGCTTTTATGTGCATTTCTAACTGTGAAAAGCTATCTTTGAAGACAAGAATATAAGTACACTGGACTCAGAAGAAGAAGCTGCGAAGAAGCTGGTTGGGGGGGGGATTAAGAAATAGGCACAACAACCATCACCACACAAATTCTGCAGTCTACATACATTGACCATTGCCTTGATCATTGAAATGCAAATAAGTAAAGGCAATGTTGCACAATGGCATCACTGCACATGGAGTTCAAATCAATCAATCCTAAAGCAAATCTATCCTGACTATTTGAAGTATTTGAAAGTATTTGAAAGACAAATACTGAAGCTGGAGCTCAAATATTTTGGCCAGCAAATGAGAATAGAGGACACTTCTGAAAAGATCCTGATGCTGGAGAAGACTGAAAGCAAGTGCAAAAGAGGAGACAGCTAGAGTTATACTCACCTCTAGGGTGAATACTCACCTCTAATGATCTAAGTGCTAGAGCCCACTGCAACTACATAGCCAAAAAGGCATTAAGAGTTGTTAACCTAATCCTACGTAGCTTTTTCTCTGGTAATATCACACTACTAACCAGAGCATACAAAACATTTGCTAGACCAATACTCGAATACAGTTCATCAGTCTGGAACCCACATTACATATCTGATATTAGCACAATTGAGAAAGTCCAGAAATATTTCACAAGAAGAGTTCTCCACTCCTCCACTCACTGTAGAATACCTTATGCCACCAGACTTGAAATTCTAGAACTAGAAAACCTTGAATTACGCCGTCTTCGGTCTGATTTAAGCATGGTATATAAAATCATACATTGCAATGTCCTACCTGTCAATGAATACTTCAGCTTCAACCATAACAACACAAGAGCACACAATAGATACAAACTCAATGTTAACCGCACCAAACTTGATTGCAGGAAATATGACTTCAGCAATAGAGTGGTCAATGTCTGGAATACTCTACCCGACTCTGTAGTTTCTTCCCCAAACCCCAAAAACTTTAACCTTAGACTGTCTACTATTGACCTCACCCCTTTCCTAAGAGGTCTGTAGGGGGCATGCATAAGCGCACCAACGTGCCTACCGTCCCTGTCCTATTGTTTCTCTTATTCTTCTTTTATTTTTCTTATATGTACCCATTTCATGTATTCACATCTATGTATACACTTATACTTATTATCTTGTAAACAATTGGCAAATCAAATAAATAAATAAATAAATAAATAAAATAAGGTTACGATTATTCTACTCAGAATAACAAAGAAAGCAATTGGAAGTATCCACATTTGACTTCTCCCCTTTCATGTTTTCCAAGTTAACCTATGACAAATCAGGAATAAGGGCACAGGTGGATGGTGAATGGCCCCTCCCATAGGGAAAAAAGAGGAGTGAAAGGGGAGTGGTGTTTGCAAGAGACAGTTCAATTCATTAGGGTGAAGATCTGTTCCTGACTTCTTGCCAAGTAATTTTCAGACACGTAGCATTTGAAAGATATTGGCCTGGCAACTCTCCAAGCATGATAAAGGTCTGTAGTTGTGAAATCTCATGAAAGACTGTTTGCCAGGACTTTGCTGGAGAGGAATTCACTTTAACCTAAATAAAAAAGGGTTTTATCGGGACTAGGAGTCTGCTTCATGATCTTGGGAAGCCTAGGTCACAACACAATTGTTTGGAAATATCTCAATTATAATTATAAGGGAAAAAAATATTATTAAGAATCAATTGAAGATATTGGATCTTGGATAATTCAGAGAGAATAACTGCAGGGATTTATGGTAGGTTAAAAACTGTTGTGGACTTTCTGCATATGAAATATAATTATAGATTATTATTAACAGGGTGTTTTGAAGTTTAGGCTTTTGTCAATTACCTATTAACTTTTTTTTTACAGTACATTGATTGTAGGTCAATTATCTGGGTAAATAGCTGGGGAGTTTATAAATTATACACCTGTTTTGCAAGAGTGGGGATATGGGACTATTACTGTTGAAATATATTTATTAGTATTCAACTAGGGGAGATAATTTATGTATAATTTCTTTTTTTTTTTTTTTGCACAATTAGTTGTTTTTCTTAGTTTGATTTGTTTTTGTTTCCTTTTTTCTGTCTGAAGGTTGTATTTTAACTTTGGAAATGAAATTAAAAAAATATTTGAAAAAGAGAAATATGTTTTGCTTTAATTTTTATTTTTCCCCTACAGTTGCCTTAAATTTCCAAACACCGGGTGTGCAGATGGATTTACTCATTGGAAAATTTTTGGACAATGGAGGCTCTGGTTACCTTGTGAAACCAGAATTCTTAAGAAGAAGAGACTCTGCTTTTGACCCATTTAACGTTACCGATAGGTATAATCCCATTACGCTAACAATAAAGGTAAGACAGTTTCATGGAAACTTCAACCTATCTAAGGAACAATTCCTTGATCTTATGAACTCAGCTACCACTAAAACATTTGACTAGAAAAGTCTGAGAAAGTTATACTTCTACAATTAAGCTGTCATTTGAAGGCCTACGTTGCCTTCAAAAATACATCTGATATCTCTTTCCCAGGATTCTCTTCTCCTGAATAGACCCATAGACTAGAGAACAACAGAGTTGGAAGGGATCTCTGGTCCAAACCCCTGCTCAAGCAGGAGACCCAGACAAATGGCTGTCCAATTTTTTCTTAGAAGCCTCCTGTGACGGAGCATGCACAACTTCTGGAGGCAAGCCATTCCACTGATTAACTGATCTCACTCTCAACCTAATTCTAGATTGGATCTCTCTTTGATAAGCTTCCATATGTTACTTCTTGTTCTGCCCTCAGGTTTGGAGAATAGGCCTATACATTTATTAAGCTGACATTTAATTCTTTGGAAAGTAGAGGAATATATTTTAGTTAGCATATTTGGCCTCACCATGTTGTAAAGCATCCAGATAATGAAGAATTGTCACAAGGAAAAGATCACTAATTCCTTACCAGTGGATGGCTTTGCTTTGATTGAAGGCAGGTTGGTAGTAATTGTTGTTTTTCTGCAGTCCTAATTATCCTCTGAAGTCTGTGTCTGTCCTGTTGGGTTGCAGAACACTTCACTCCTAACCAGATGAATGTGATTCTTCAAAATACTCTTCTAGAGTGAAGAGTATTTTGAAGAATCACATTCATCTGGTTAGGAGTGAAGTGTTCAGTTGCCAAGCTTGCATAAAATGTTGCTTCAATCTTTTATTAAATGCCATTCTAGAACTCATT